TCAGTGCTATTCGTGATACTGTCAAATTTCATTACACCTCTTGTGTTTTCTGTAGCATATTTATATCATCATTTTTCATGGGAATTTTTAAAAAGTTGATAATCAGCTTGATTTTTTGCATAATGTTTCCCTTTTAAATTTGCTCATGAATTTTAAGTGTGTTTTGTTATGTTGAGTTTTATATCATAATGATTTGAGTATTTCTCCCTTGTTAATCTTAATGTTAAAATTTTGCTTTCAAAGCATGTTTGAAATGATGTTGAAGACTGGTGCTTAAACTATGACTGTTACAACAAAATATTTAGATAATAGTCATTCAGTTATGGCAGAGTTTAATTGGTCAATAGTATATATAGAAAGGAAAACACATTTTAAATAGTGGAACTGCTAATATTAACATGAAAGGCTGTAATAATACACATGATACAGTCAGAAAACTAAAAAGCTCCACCTGAGTTTAGTTTGAAATCGAAATGGCAAATCTGATCAGAAATAAAAGCTCTTTGGTCAAGATGAGTTGCTTCATTTTAGAATGTCATGATAACTAGAATGGAACATTAAAATAAAAATTGTAGTCAAAGCTTTAAAGCTGGAAGAAAGGCCGGGCACAGTAGCTCACACCTGTAATCCCAGCACTTTGGGAGGCCAAGGTGGGTGGACTGCTTGAGGTTAGGAGTTCAAGACCAGCCTGGCCAACATGGTGAAACCCCTTCTCTACTAAAAATAGAAAAATTAGCCGGGCGTGGTGGTGGACACCTGTAATCTTAGCTACTTGGGAGGCTGAGAAAGAATTGCTTGAACCCAGGAGTCGGAGGTTGCAGTGAGCCAAGATCACGCCACTGCACTCCAGCCTGGGCAACAGAGCAAAACACTGTCTCAGACAGACAAGCAAGCAAATAAACAAACAAACAAAAGCTAGAAGACATTCTGAAGACCATATAGATTAACCTTTTATAGAAAAAAACTGACGTTGGCAGAACTTGTTCCTAGACCGTTGTTACTGAAGGAATCTGAACAATTAAAGCTTCATTCTAGTAAACTGATATACTGTATAGCAGACTGTAAGCTATTTACATTTCAATGTTTGTTTTAGTTTTTATCAGGGACTAGAATGCCTAGTGCTTCTTTAGAAAGCAAAAGGACTTAGCAATAACCTATTATCATTTAAAAAATACTATATTAACTACTTTGAGGTTCTTGAGGGTCATGGTAGAGGTTTCCCATCATGAATGGCAAAAATCTGATATTTAACTCCATTATTTAATCAAAATTTGTCCTATTTCTTATTTAACATGTAAACTATAGTTATAATTGTACTGAAGCAGTAAGAGATTTAGACAGACAATGCTTTTGTTCCCCACGTTCCACCCCAGAATAATATATCTAGTGCACATTTTATTTGTGGACAGTTACTACACCGCAGTTCCATCACATTTATGCAGCACTGTCTAGTAACAGGATTTTTTGAGTGGAAGTGGGAAAATAAAAATTAATTATATTACTGAATATTTTAACTGTTAAGTGCTTAAATTTTCCCCACAATATTGTCTTGTACTGTATGATTTTTCAGCATTTAAGAAGCGGTTTTGTTCTTTATAGCTGAACCAATAACGTTTCCATCTGGAGGAGGCAAGTCATTTATTATGGGTTCTGATGATGTTTTGTTAAGTGTACTGGGCCTTGGAGACCTTGCAGACTTGACGGTAACAAATGATGCAGACTATAGTTATGATGTAAGTGCAGTTTTATTTTTAATTTTTTAATGATTTAATAGAAGGCTCCTTATTTTTTGGAATCACTATAAACAGAATTAATATCAAGGTGCATGGAAAAGATAAGTTTGTGTCAATGTGTTGATTTGAAGTGACATGTAATTTTTCTTTTATAACTACTTTCTTTGTGGCATTTAAATTTTTCTTAGGTATTTTGGTGGATTAGCTAGAGGTTTGGGGTGATTACTTTAATATATTGGTCAATAAATACATCTTCAGTAGTCAACTCTCAATTATTTCAAATTAAGCCATATTTTGGTGTTAACTAGAAAAAAGAAAAAAACCTGATCATATATTTGCTTTCAGAATACTTCTTAAAAAGCATGTTTTATTTTTGAACTTTTATTTTCTTAAGGAAATATTTTAAAGTTTCTGAATGTTTTAAAGTTAGCTTGCATCATTTCCTGAATACTTAACTCCTTCATTAGAGGGATAGGGAGAGGATGGAAGGGGTGGGGAGTCCAGTGTTAGAGGTGAAACTTGTCTTGGATTTAATTTTTTCTAGACATTTAATATTTCAATTGAGAGTTAACTATAATTATTAGATCTTTATGTTAATTGCAGTTTTTCAGCAATTTTTTTCTTGTTATAACAAATTTCTTTTTCTACATTTTATACTTACGTTAGCATGCTTTTTAGAGACAGCCTTTGATGGGCTGGATTATTTTCATATTTTTTAAAGCATATAAGCAACTAAATTCCAGTAAACAAAATTTTGACTGCTTTAGAAGTGGTTTCACAGCCTATCTTTACAGATGGAGAAATGTGAAGGTTAAAAGATTAACCTCTGTCAATATCAAGAATTATGAAAATGGGATAAAAAATGTTCTTAAAGGGTCTTTAGTTCAGACTTTCAGAAAATGCTTAGCTTGCTGCCTTTAAAAATTTCACATGCTAATACATTTTCTTAATGACAACCTTACTGTTAATACTGTACTGTTGGATATTTGTAATAACTTACGTAATTATTTTTCATGTAAACTATTACAGCAATGATAATTACTTTGTTCGAATCTGACATTTGATAGGAGCTTTGGGTTTAGTTTGGTAGGTAAAAACAGATTAAAGAACTCTTCATTTGATCTAGGCTATTTGTAAGGCTAATGAAATTACTATTCTGAGTTAGTAAATGATAAAGATTTGTTAGAAGGTTTTAAGGGTACATTAAATTTCCACTGGATATTTTAGCCAGTTTTAAATATACGTGTTAAACACACCAAAAAGAACAAACACTCCACATGCCTGCCAGTTTACTACTTTTACCACTAAATATTGTGCTCTTTCCTTTTAGTTGCCTGCCAATAAAGATGCCTTTCGAAAGACATGGAATCCCAAGTATACACTACGTAGCCATTTTGATGGAGTACGGGCATTAGCTTTTCATCCTGTAGAACCTGTGCTGGTTACTGCTTCTGAGGACCATACCCTGAAACTTTGGAACCTGCAAAAAACAGTTCCTGCCAAAAAGCAAGTGTTTTAATGTTAGCCTGGTGTATTTCTTCCAATTTTACTAATATAAGTAATTATTCCTCTTATTGTTGCATATCTTTAATGCACACATTTGAGCTAATGACTATTTAATATCAACCAGTGATTTATAGTTATTTAATTGCCTTCTCTTCCCCCACCTTTTTTCCCCCTCTTTTAGGAGTGCCTCTTTAGATGTAGAGCCTATCTACACATTTAGGGCCCACATGTAAGTTTTACTGAATTGGTATTTAATTAACAATCATTGTTAAATATTATTTATCAGTTCTCAAACCTTGTAATTTTCTCAGTGTTTGTTTTATATTAGAAAAGACATATTACTTGAATAATAGCTATATAATAATTTATTGGTGAGAATATGAATGTAATAGTACCACTCAGGCCAGATGGCAGTAGTTCATGCCTATAATCCCAGGACTTTGGGAGGCTGAGGCAGGCAGATCACTTGAGATCGGGAGTTTGAGATCAGCCTGGCCAACATGGTAAAACCCCATCTCTACCACAAAATACAAAAATTAGCTGGGTGTGGTGGCATGCACCTGTGGTCTCAGCTACTTGGGATGCTAAGGCAGGAGAATCACTTAATCCCAGTAGGCGGAGGTTGCGGTGAACCGAGATCACCACTACACTTCAGCCTGGGTGGGCGACAGAGTGAGACCCTGTCTCCAAAAAAACAAAAACAAAAACAAAAATAAACAAACAAAAAACCCCACCATTCAGATGTATATGTTCTCTTAAAACAGTTTTTAAGTATAACATAAATTCAGAGGTTGGGAGAATGGAGATTTGAGTTCCTTCTTAGAATTTATCAGTAATTTTTTTTCACTCTCTCTTTCTACAATAGTGGCCCTGTTCTATCCTTAGCTATTAGTTCTAATGGAGAACAGTGTTTTAGTGGTGGTATTGATGCAACCATCCAGTGGTGGAATATGCCGAGTCCCAATGTGGATCCGTATGATACATATGGTAAGTAAAAGGATCAAAATGTATTTTTTTTAAGTGAATGGAGCTGACAAAAGTGAATGCCTCAAATATGATTACAAGGTTATTTAAACCTATATTAGTCACGTCATTTAGTTCTTCAGTTTGCTAATAAATTGCTTTATTAAAGAGAAAAGTTAGGAAATATCATGCCATGTTTATTTAAGCCTATGAATTGACACTTTCTCTGTTAAAAAAAAAAAACTATATTAAAATGTTGATTTAGGTAGTAGTTACAAAAAGGAGAAGGAAACGAAATATAATCTAAATAACATTTTAAACTTAAGAAATAGTTTATATATTTCAAAAATACCAAGCAAAAGACAATGGAAACAACAGTAAGGGTGTAAATCATTACAAATTTTTGGAGCCAAAACAATTTTTGTTATTCTTAGCTCATATCTACAAAAACATTTTTAATTTCAAAAAACAAACAAAAACCTCTTTTGACTTACAAATGGAGGTTTTAGAAATCTGTCCTATAGAAAAGACCTATGTGCACCTGTGTTCAAATATATTTGTAAGGACATTGTTAATAATTATAAAACATTAAAATGTTTATGAACTCTTTATTCTTTTTATTTAACACACACTTTGTGCCTACATTAGCCAGGCATCGTGGTAAGTACTATGTCAAGAAATAAGATTTAGTCTAATGGAAAGTAGAGATATAAAACAAATAAGCAAGGTGATGGGATCTGTGGTTACAAATTGTGATAAATGATAAGACAATAGGGTTTTGCTTGTGAGGGTCATAAGATGGGAACGCTCCCGGAACGTAGAAATATCCCACCGTGGGTGAAAGGTCCCGAAGACCTGAAAGATCCAGAAGTGTTCCAGCTCCAGACGTGGCTGCTGGAAGCCATGTTCGGCCGGGACGGATTTCGAATCCGTTACATCGAGCAGGTGAGCAAGGCCATGCTCGAGCTGAAGGCTCTGGAGTCTCCAGATTTCACCAAGGTCGTGGTTTACAGCTCCTATATACACAAACTTTGGGCCAAGCGGATACTCCAGTCTATGGTTGAGTGGCACTACCAGCACCAGGAATGACGGATGCTCAAACTTGAGGAAGCTATGAATGCCCTTGAACTAAGCCCTTGGATGAAGTGAACCAACTTCCAACCAGGATGAAGGCCAGGATGTAGAGATTAGTTTGTGGCCAGAGCTGGAGTGATTTCTCCAGCTTGGTTTAAAATCTGTTCCAAGCCTGAGGAGTTGAGGGAAAATCATCTGTTTAGGGGTCTCTACCTTGGGTCTGAGTCTTGTTATTAATATCTCTTTGATGGTTGCCAATAAAACTTTTTCTTCCCCATTTTAAAAATTAAAGAAAAAACAACGATAGAGTACTGTAAGAGGGAGTAAAAGGCATAACCTTCTCTAGAAGAATTAAGAAAGGTCTATCTAAAATTGTGACATTCAAGCCAAAATCTGAAGGATAAAAGCTACTTTCAGTAAAGAGTTTTAAGCCATGAAGTTATCTGATAAATGTAAGGTTTTAAAAAGATGACTGTGTCTGGTGTGAGAAGAATAAATTGGGGGTGAGAAGAGTGGAAAGAGAAATACCATTTAGGAGGCTGCTGTCATAAAATACCATTTAGGAGGCTTCTGTCATACAGTAGTCCAGTAAACTGGGTGACAGACAATATTGCAAGGTTAGAGTGGTGGTAGCAGAGCAGCTAGAAGTGGTTTTAAGATACACACTGGGGAAGTGTGGTAGAATAGAAAGGATTTATTGATAAATTATGTTGAGTAGATAAAGTGATGAGTGAGTGACTCTTAATTTGGTTATATGTATTTTTTAATTAACTGCTTTATTGAGATGTAATTTGCATATCACAAAATTCACCCTTTTAAAGTATACAGTTCAGGCTGGGCACAGTGGCCCATACCTGTAATCCCACCACTTTGGGAGGCCGAGGTGGTGGGAGAATCACTTGAGGCCAGGACTTCAAGACCAGCCTGGGCAACACAGACCCGATGTCTACCAAAAATTTAAAAATCAGCCACAAGTGGTGGTATGTGCCTATAGTCCCAGATGCTCAGGAGGCTGAGCTGGAAGGATCACTTGAGTATAGGAAGTCAAGGCTGTAGTGAGCTATGTTGGTGCCAGTGTACTTCAGCCTGGGCAAAAGAGCGAGAACCCATCTCTCTTTCTTCCTTTTCTTTCCTCTTTCCCCTTTTCTCTTTCTCTTTTCCCTTTCCCCTTTCCCCTCCTTTCCTTCGTTTCTTTTGAAAAGCAAGTTATATCTCAATAAAACATTTAATTAAAGAAAAAGAATTTTGTAAAGTTATGATAATTGTTTTAACTCCTAGTCATTTTTTTTGGAGTGCTTTTCTTTTTTGAGACAGCGTCTCGCTCTGTCTCCTAGGTTGGAGGGCAGAGGCGTGATCTTGGCTTGTTGCAGCCTCTGCTGCCCAGGCTGAAACCATACTCCTGAGTAGCTGGGACCACAGGTGTGAGCCACCACACCCCACTAATTTTTGTATTTTTTGTAGAAATGGTGACCATGTAACCCAAGGTTCTCTCAAACTCCTGGGCTCAAGTAATCCTACTGCTTCGGCCTCCCAAAGTATTGGGATAACAGGCATGAGCCACAATGTGCAGCCACAAGACCCCATCTCTTAAAAAAAAAAAAGTTGGCTGGGCGCAGTGGCTCATGCCTGTAATCCCAGCACTTTGGGAGGCTGAGGCTGATGGATCACGAGGTCAAGAGATCGAGACCATCCTGGTCAACACAGTGAAACCCCGTCTCTACTAAAAATACAAAAAAAAAAAAAAATCAGCTGGGCATGGTGGTGCGTGCCTGTAGTCCCAGCTACTCAGGAGGCTGAGGCAGGAGAATTGCCTGAACCCAGGAGGCAGAGGTTGCGGTGAGCCGAGATCACGCCATTGCACTCCAGCCTGGGTAACAAGAGCAAAACTCCGTCTCAAAAAAAAAAAAAAAAAAGTTAATGGTTAAAAATAAAGTCTACAGTTCAGTAGTTTTTACTGTGTTCACAAAGTTGTGCGGCCATCATCACTAATTTCAGAACATTTTCATTATCAGTCCTGAGTGTTTGACAAGAGCAACTGAGCATGTGATGGGAGCATTTATCGAAACGGGGGCTGTGAGGAGATTTAAGATGGTGAGTTCAGATTTTAGGCATGTTAAATGATAACAGTATCAAGTAGGTAATACACAAATATGGAGCCCAAAGAGATCTCAATTGAAGATAAAAACATGGAGAATCTTCTCTACTGATGATACATTAAGCTGTAAGAATGGGTGATATGTATTGATTAATGTATAAGAGAAGACGACCTGGAACTAAAGTCCTCCATAACTGACACCGGGAAGGTGGCTAGAGCAAGAGAGCCAACAAAGGAAACTGAGAAGGTATGAGCCAAGAGATACACGGAAGTGCAGGAGAGTGTGAAATCATGGAAGCACGCTAAAGAAGAAGGCATTTTGAGAAGAAAGAAGCAGTCTGTACTTTCAGATGTTGCTGAGCGGTCTAATAATATGATAGAAAGTTTCCTTTTCATAAGTGACTAGTAAGTCACCCAGGTCTTGGCCACATAGAGGTTAGATGCTGGAGCTAAGACTGAAGGATGAAGGGACTATCCATATAGTCTTCATGTCAGACTATATGGATAAAAAGCGATATAATAGGAGCAACAACAACAACAAAATGTTTTGTATCATTGAAGAAAAGTATTAAATTTGAGAGTAAAGGAATCGTCATTAGTCATCTTAGTAAGGATTGTTTTGGTAGTGGTATCAGAAACCAAATTGGAGTGATTTGAAGAGTAAACAGGAGGTAAAAAGCACATTTTTGCCGCTTGGTAGAAGGGGTGGTAGGGTAGGATTAATGAAGATTTCTTGTTTATGAGATTCTGGAACAAGTCCCCCCCCCGCCACCCCCCCAACTATAGTAATGATCCCAAAGAGGAGAATTTGTTTGGTAGAAAAGCAGTAACCATAACACCAAGTTAGTGCCATCTGGTACTAACACATCTGGTGGAATTGGCCTTTGATAGGATGGAGGACAGATTCATTGCTTGTATCTGGAAGATACCTTTAGACACTCCTAATCATTTATATATTAATTAGGTAGCAAGAAGATGGGGGATAAGAAACATAGAGCATTATTTGAATGCTGTATTTTCTCAGTGAAGTATGAGGCTTAGTCATTCATGAGGAAGAGAGGTTGGGAGCTGTGAGAATTGTGGAGATGATAAGAATTCATGGAAAGTGGGAGGAGTTTACTAGAGAAACAAGATTGTCAACAAATTATGCTCAATGTTATTGGCTGTCAAATGTCTCATCAGTTAAGGAACAGATAAATAAAATATGATATATCCATACAGTAGAATATTATTTGGCACTAAAAAGAAAAGAAGTACTGACACATGCTCCAACATGGATTAACCTTGAAAATATGTTCATTGATGAGGAGGTCAAGGCTGCAATAAACTGTGACTGTGCCACTGCACCCCAACCTGGGTGACAGAGCAAGACCCTATTTCCGAGTCTCACTCTGTTTCTCAGGCTGGAGTGCGGTGGTACGATCTTGACTTGCTACAACCTCCATCTCCCAGGTTCAAGTGATTATGCTGCTTCAGCCTCCTGAGTAGCTGGGATTACAGTCGTGCACCACCATGCCCAGCTAGTTTTTGTATTGTTAGTAGAGATGGGGTTTTACTATGTGGGTCAGGCTGGTCTCGAACTTCTGACCTCATGATCTGCCCACCTCGGCCTCCCGAAGTGCTGGGATTACAGACGTGAGCCACTGCACCCAGCCAAGACCCTATTTCAAAAAGAAAGACAGGAAACATACTCAGTTAAAGATCCCAGTCACAAAAGACCACATATTATATGATCTATTTATAGAAAATGTTGAGAATAGACACATCTATAGAGACAGTATTAGTTGTTGCCTAGACTTGTGGACAGGTGGGGAGGAGGAATTGGGGGAAGTGACTAATGAGTGATAAAGTTTCCTAAAATTGATTGTCATGATGATTATATAACTCTCTGAAAAACGTACCCAAAATGATTGAATTATATACTTTAAATGAGTGAGTTATATGGTATGTAAATTATATCTCAAGAAAGCTGTTTTTTTTTTAAGCATATGTTTCTTTATTGAAAATTGTGAAAATACAGAAAAATGTTGATGGGGGGAGGGGATAAAAATAGGCCATAACTCTACTCTTAGATATAGCCACTGTGTACACTTTGTTTTATCTTCTTATGGCCTTTATTTGTGTTCATTACACTCAGTTATATAGTAAGTTTTCTTTATCAAAGTGTCTTTTAAACTTCTTTAACCTAATTTTTTGTTTGTTTGTTTTTTCTCAGAGCCAAATGTTCTAGCTGGCACTTTAGTTGGTCATACAGATGCAGTTTGGGCTCTTGCTTATAGTGGCATAAAAAATCAGTTACTGTCTTGTTCAGCAGATGGCACTGTTAGGTTATGGAATCCACAAGAAAAATTGCCATGTATTTGCACTTACAATGGAGATAAAAGTAAGTAAATTTGGCATCTGTGAGAAAAGTTTGTTTTTGTTTTTTTTTTTTTTCAATTTGGAATATATAAAGGGCAAAGTAATTGATTTATTTACTCCTCAAAAAAGATATATTGAAATAATTTTGTAAAAGTTATTTTTTTGCTTTTACTTTTTACTCCTAGTCATTTTTTTACTCCTAGTCATTTTTTTTGAAGTGTTTTACAACTATATCCCACAGTGCAGTGCTTTTTTATTTTTTAATCTATTTTATATTTCAGTTTTTAAAAATGTAAAACTACTTGTATATAATAGTGCAGTAGACAAATAAGGATACTCTTAGGGACAACAGGAGGCACACCACCTGTTCCACATGACTACCCACAAAGACTGAAGGGATCATAGTCTCAAGCATACTTATAAACCATGTGTTCCATGACCTTGAGCATCCTAGTTGAGTAGTCCAGCCATAATTATTGAACCTCTAACTGGAAAAGTGCAAATTGGGTTATTTTAATGATTTTAAGTATTTTCCTATTAAAAAAGGATTTAACCAGTTTACCTTTTGA